AACAATTATATTAACTAAAAAAGAAGTTCATAAAACAACACATATTAATGTATTTCATATGTTAAGCGGGTTAATATTTTATAAAATTTATTAATAGTATTTAAATTATATACTTTCTGACTTTATAGTGTATTTTTGCGATCACAGTGGCGTGTTAATAATTATTTTGAAACGTTCACTGTCTTAAATGAAATAATATTGTTTGTTGACATATCCATCAAGCGAAAAATTAACCTCATCAGTAAAAAAATCCATCCGCAACTATCCACTTCAACCCAATTCGAAGAAAAACCGTTTTGTTGACTACACAATAGTGAAATCCACTATGAACAATTTTGAGGAAACTTAGTGTACCAAATCAGCGCAATCTGTTACCAGATAATAATTAAGCAACAATTAAATCGAACTGAAATCAAGTATACTCAAAGCTGAAACTGGCATTAAGTTAAAGTTTTTCGCCCATATTGTTTAACATACTAATAATGATACGTAAAAAGAAAAGCTTACTCTACTGATGCCAAATGTGATCACGAATGCAGGATACGACGCAATCGATATATTATTATACACTCTTATAGCAAATACTGACGAAAGATTAGAAAAATAAAATTGTTATACGGATTCGAATAGCAAAGAAAAGACAAAGACAAAAATTTATTTAATTTATTGAAATTTGATTGACCATACAACGCTGTTTAGCTTTGTAATTCCCAGCATTGTAAAATTTTTTGCAGAAGGAAAAAAAAACGATAGTCTGACTACATTTTCTTTTATAGACGTTTATTTAAAATGTATCTCAATTCTACAAAATTGATAGAAAAAAAGGCTACTGACAGTTTTATCTTGCATTTGTGAGACTTACATATTTTTAGATTTTGTCATGCAATATAGCAGTTTAATACGTTAATTTATTTTCTTGCCGACATTGACGAGTCTTTATGTCGACAAGATACTATTTAAAAGTTACACAGATTTGAATAGAAAAGAAAAGGACAAAAATTTATTTAATTTATTGAAATTTGTCTGACCATTTATTTTTTTCTATTTTCGTAAAAATTCACGAGGTTGTCTGCTTTAAACGGCTTTCAAACACCAACTGAACGACGTAGCTTGCTCAAAATTAAAAAGTTGCCCACTGGTGAATTACAGCTGACGACAGCGAGGGAAATTCAAAAAGTTTTTGACTTATCAAACCGCCCTCGTATGACGCAAAAAAATATTTTTCAAATAAACAAGTGAGGGAAAATTGTTGTAACTTCCATATAGCAGAATCTTTCGGGTCCTCATTATAAGGTCATCTGATATTTCAACTAGGAATTATTATTCCTACACTATAAGCTCTGATAATCCACATTAGTAAAGAAAATTTCTATTCATAAAAATAGAAATATGCTACAAACGCATACTCAGATAATATATCTGTAATATACCCAGCGAACATTTTCAATCGCGGAAGAGTCTTCCGCGAATCGTAATGGCGAGCAATTTAATCGCAGAAGAGTTTGTCTGAGAGTCGCAGACGATGCTTTCGTTGTGAGAACTTGTCGGCTCATCCGCGATTCGCTTAGAAGCGTAAAAAATAAGTCTTCTACATGCATCGCTTATGCGTCGCTTAGAAGCGTAATAAATTACTCTTCTGTATGCATCGCTTAGAAGCGTATTAAATTACTCCTTTATGTATCACGGAGTAGCGTTACTCCGCTACTCGGAAGAGATAGAAAAGAAACAGCGAATATAAAATTTAAAAGAAGTTGAAATAAAAATTTTTGATTTATTAAAATGACTCGTTTCTTATTGGTTTATTTGTAAAATTATATACAAAAAAAAAAAAGCAAATAATATAATAAAATAAGTATTAAAAGTAGTTTACCATATATTTCTTATTGCTAACTTAATGCTAATATTAATTAATATTTTTAAAATACTAGATATTAAATAGATTTTAAATTAGATATTAGTTATTTTATTAAAGACACATTTTATTGTATTTAGGACGTGTGCGAGTTAGGCTAAGTTGATGCTAAACCAAATGGGAGATTTTTTGGGATTTTTTGCACTGCATACATTTAGCTATTTATCAACACGTATCGACACATCACTACATTATCGGTACAACTTAGAATTTCCCTCATTTAGAACGCAACTTAGCCTAACTCGCACACGTCTTTAGTACATTACATATTTTAAGTTATTAACTTTGAATAATAAGATATCAAAATATTACTTACCTATATATATTTAATAAAATTTTGTTATTAAAATTATTTTATTTAAATATATTTATTAAAATTTCACAACACAAATGTAACACTTCAATTGCACTTTAAGAATAGAGAATCCAAAGTCGCATATGTAAATATTATGTTACAGAAAAAAGTGCGTAATAAAGGAGTAACTTAAAGACACATTCGCCAAACAATCGTCGAGGCGAGTAATAATTGCACTTCAAAAATAGAGAAACAAAAGCGACATACGTAAATATTATATTACAGAAAAAACAAAGAAAGCAACTTAGTAATTTTTAGAGAACAATCGCTTAACCATCGTCAAGGCGAGTCATAAGCGACGCATTTTGACGATTGGCGATAAATGAATCGTCTAAATGCTGGCTGGGCAGAAACAAATGCAGGAAATTTCAATGGAGAAGATACGGGGGAATAGAGAAATTAATGCATATATAAAAATAAATCAATCTCAAAAATCACATATATCTTGAACTTTCCGATAATACAATTCAATAATTCGCAGAATATGTTTTGTATACATTTTATAGAAAAATAGTGGTGAAAAAATTTAAAAATTGCAAGAGAATATAACTTTCTATTGACAAAAAGATCGTTTTAAAACATAGCAACATAGCGTAACAAAGAGATTTCACAACCACTTGTACATTGTCTTTGACTACTTAGCAAAATAATTTACTGTTATATATTGTAGATATATATTAAAATATTATTTATATTTTATATAAATTAAATATTACACAATATACAAGTATGATAAAAGGACCATTTTGTTCGAACACATATGCATTATTTATTTATGTACTTTTTTTTTTTTGTAAATGATGCATTTATTAAACAATGTGTATGAAAATATAATTACAAAGCAAAATAATTATATAAATTATAAATAAAATTGTTACTTTCCACAAGCAGTAAAACATAAATCAAACCTTTGTTTTATTGTTTTCACTCCTTATTGTTAACTCTTTTCTTGTGAAATTAAAAAACACAAATACAAGCGTAAAAATAATTTTACCGTTCATACCCACCCCCCTGTTTTATTGTTACAATAAAGACCGGTTGAATAATTAATAATTAAATAAATGAAATAATTTGTTTATTCTTATAATATTAATAAATGTTAATATATTTAATCAATACATGTTTATAAACTGTTTTTGAAATACCTTGATTAATATGTGTGTGTGTGTTTTTCCCAGCTATTTATTTACTCACTTTCGTTATAACTTATGTCTATTATGGCTTATTTTTATATCGAAAATAATTTCACTTTAATATATAAATACCACACTCTGTTAATAATATTAATATGTCATATTGTATGCCAAAAAATGATTACAACTTACATTAAATACTTCTAAAATTTCCGAAACTTTCGCAAACCACACCGATTTACACTCGCGCAGCTTACTTTTAACGACCGAGTGACGCCATTACTTAAAAAGAAACTGAAAAAGAAACGTTATTTTCGCTTAATCCCTATGCACCAGTTTGGATGTCACAAACGTAAAAGTACTGCCAACTCAAATTAATTGCTAAATTAATTTTATCTATTTTATATGCTAAAATAATTTTAAAAAATATTAGCATAAATAATTTTTTTTGTATCATATAAATATATGTAAAATTATATAAATTTTTATAAGAAATATGTTGCTTAAAGTCATTTATATTTATATTGTATGAACACCTCTTAGTTTAAATAAATAAGTTTTAAAATTGTTAAACATAAAATGATTATTATAAAAAGCTATATTTTGTATATAAATAAATACGGATATATATTATATAAGATATAATTGAAATGTCTATAAGCATATACATATATATGTATACTCACAATAACTTTTCGCGTTTTTATTTTATTTTAAATGTACTTATAGAGTAAATTAAATTGCATGAATTGCTCCAGGATGACAACTAACAACAAAAACTAAAAACTCTGTTAATATGTGTCAGTCATTCTGTTATGTCAGATGTAAATAAAACAATTTTTCAGTTGAGATAATTTTTGTATATGCACTCCTCATAGGCAAAAAAAATTGTCTTTTTACAATAACATTTTGCAAGTTTTAATACTTAACATGGTTTAAAAAATATACTTAAAACTAATTTATGTGCGCTCAAAAATATTTATTGCATTTAATACATTTTCAGGGCTTGGATTATATTATACCAATAACATATTTTATAATACAAAGATAATAAGGATAATAAGTTGCTTGTACCATACATATCAGTTAGTTGTTAAAATTATATCAGTTAATTTCGTAGAACATAAATATTGCGTATAAAAATATGTTCACATCATGTGGAAGTTGATTATGTTTAGCCATATTTTTTACTTTGCCATTGTATTTAAAGGGAATTTTTTGAAGTTGAAATTTAAAAATACGCAATACGTAGTACGTATTAGTACGATTACGTACTCAACGAAATAATTTTTTTTGGACGCACCATTATTGAGATTCAATCAATTTTCCAGTGTCAAATCATATGTTACAATTAAATTTTAACTCTTGTATACAACATAATATAAAAATGGTTAATGGAGTTATAACCCAATTCAAGCGAAATCGTGGAAGTTTGGTTGTTGCTTGAAATTAATTAAACAATTGTTTTTAAAACCAAATAAAGTGATATTGTTTTTCAACACCTTAACATATTAAGTATGTATGTGTGCAAATATTGTCCATAATATTATTTAATGATATATATTTTTATATAGCTTATGTCATGCATGAATTGCAGCAGCAAAATTGTTATTTTAAAGGTAAAGGTAATTTTAAAGGTGAAAAAACAAAAAAATTAATTTATAAATAATTGATTATAAAAAAGTAAAGTCAAAGAAAGAAATACAAAAAACCATAAAAAGGTAAAGAAATTAATAATCTTTATCTGTGGAGATTAAAAATCACCACAAACAATCAAAAAAAAAAATTTATAAATGATTAATATACTTATCAAATATGTCCTAAACTTATACCCAGAATTAATTACAAAAAGCAGAACAGTTCTTGCCTCTGAAGAATTTTTAATAAAAAATATAAGACATATCGTAGTATTCAAAAGCAAAATAGGATAAAAAACAATAAATGGGAGTTTGTAAATATAAAATCCTTACTATCTTACAAAATTCTTATTAATGGATTAGGACGATTAAAAGTTGAAATCAGCAATAATGCCATCAAAAACTTTTTTTTTGAGTTATATACACCCAAGTTATATCTTAGTATATAGACACAACTATCATTTTACTAGATTATTTGTATATTATCACAGCAAGCAATTTATTGTTTAAAATTTCTTTATTCTTTGAAAAATTTTATAATTTACTTGTAGTTCAGTTTATTTAAAAAAGTTCATTTGCTTTACTGTAACTGAATAATACTACACATTGTGCCTTGCTGCGTTAAAACTATTTGCAGATATGAAGGGTTTTACAATTGGTGGTATCAGAAAAAATCCAAGTGTAAGCAATATTTAAAATAATTATATATTAAAAGAATTGCATTTTTATAACATATGATCTTTTGTATCAGTTGATTCCTTTATATCTTTGTGTGACTGCGGGTTTTGGTTTAGCTATTTCCTATGCTGTTCGTGTCGCAATAAAAAATCCGGATATCAGTTGGAATCGTAAGGATAATCCTGAACCATGGCAGGAGTATAAGAATAGGCAATACAAGGTAATATCAGAGGTAATTGTTAATAAAACAGATTTTTTAAATAAAAGATTTATTTTTCAATAGTTCTATTCACCTATTCGGGACTATAGCGAATCCAAAACTACTACACCACGTTATGAGTATAATCGCAAATCGCACTATGAATAGCTACTAATAAGAATGAAACTTTTAAATTATTTAAGTATATTACAAAACTTTTGAATTATATTTATATAAACACTGTACGTCATCTGTTGAAATTTGCAAATAATAAAGAAGTATTAAAATTTATCGTTTAAGTAAATTGTTTATTACTAAACACATAATATATTAGTGCAACACATAAAATTACTTTATTATACTTTATATGATATTGAGAATCTAAAATCTTAGAAAAATTTATGCCGTTTTCGATTGTTAAATCTGGATTCAATCTAGATTTGCTCTCAACCTGTTAAGCTTAGTTGCACAATCCAACATTTTTAGGGTAATGTAACATTCTTGTAGTGATATTAATACACATTTATATTTTCATCAAATTGAATCAAATCACACTTTATATATCAAGTCATATAAAATAGCTGTTAATTTCTGGGCAATCTTGCAACTCTAGCAAAATATGTAGACTCTTATAAATTAATCTCGGGTGTTATACATTTCGCAAGAGATTTACCAATCGAAAATAAAAATTGCATTAGATTTACTAATCGAAAGCGGGATAAATATGACCTTAGACTCAAACACATTTTAATTAAAAATTTGAACTTAAAACATTAAATTTTTATAAGTAGTAATATTGGATAATATCGAAAAATGACAAGAATAGGCCAACAGAAAAGAAGTTGTGTTTTATAATGACCATACCAGGCCATATACATCTTTAATGGGTCGAAACAATTTCATGGATCTTGTTTGGGAAAAAAGATAGACCCCAGAAGCTCTGCAGTGAATGAATTATGAAACTATCCTAAAAATGACAAAAAGTCAAATAAATAATGATTAAAATGTAATTGATTTAAATTGACTTTTAAGAAAGAATAATTTTCTTTAAAGAATATACCAAAGAATCACAAATACTTTTTAATATTATCTATTATTGAATATTGTTTAAACCCTTATTATGTTGATAAGTTGCATTTCATGCACTTCTTTCATATATGTATTTATTATACAAATTTAACTTTTATTATTATAATACGATATATCAAATGTGTACGAAGAATTTTGATTTGTAATCATGGATACTGATCATAAACGATTTCATTATTAAATACAAATATTAAAGATTTTAAGACAATTCAATTTACAACTAACATAATAATTTTTTAGGTTATTACTTTTATTTAACTTGTTTTTTGGTCTCTCACTTATGCACAAATTTACACTTCTATGGTGAAGGACCTAGTAGTCCAGTTCATTATTCTTAATTAACTTTAAAATTGATTTTAGTGCTAACTCATAAATAAATAAATAAAATAAACTCACACTTCTAGCCTCCAGTGTTCAATCATTCGAAATCTATTCTTTTGTATAGTCAGAAAATTATGTGTACATGTTACAAAAACAATTGCTTGTGCCTGGTAGAATAGGTAATATAATGGCAAGGAAAGGAACAAAATCGCAAACCCAAACAAAAACTGGCTGTCACTGGCTATATTAGATTTTATTTCAAACTCAAACACTCACTCTAAATACTTTCGTTTGTTTTTTTTTTTGCTATTCACATTCTATTCACTGTAGTTTTTACAAACAACAAACAACAATTGCCATTGGGTTAAAAAAATAAATTATCTTATAGTATGTTTCCACTGGTTTTGTTAGACCAGTTAATTTACTTGAGATTGTTTAGACCAGTTAACTCACTTGAGATACAAGCAAGTAAGTTAACTAGTATAACAAAGACAGTGGAAACATACTACAATTAGTTCCCTATATATACATTAAGACTGAAAAGTTTTCGGAAATTCTCATTTAAAATTCGCGCGCTGTATATTTTTCGCTATTTTAAGTTTATGTAGTTTGGCAGCACTGTCCTTAATTACTATGCCAAAAATGAGCGCGATCTGTCAGACAGTTCGTTTACGGCAGCTGTTGAAACCAGTTCACCTCAGTAGTGCGTTGCGAAATGTCTTCGACGGTCGTACGACCGTCCTGAAAGGCTTTGTACCACTCATAAACTTGAGTTTTCGATAAAACTGATTCCCCATAAGCCTTTTGTAGCATTCGCAACGATTCTGCACACGAAATTTCGTTCGAAACACAAAATTTGATGCAAACTCTTTGTTCAATATTTTTTTCCATTGTTTTTTTCGCAACGCACTACTGAGGTGAACTGGTTTCAACAGCTGCCGTAAACGAACTGTCTGACAGATCGCGCTCATTTTTGGCATAGTAATTAAGGACAGTGCTGCCAAACTACATAAACTTAAAATATCGAAAAATATACAGCGCGCGAATTTTAAATGAGAATTTCCGAAAACTTTTCGGTCTTAATGTATATATAGTTTTTTATTGAAATTTGTGGATGTCTTTAAGAATGTGTACATTTTAAATGATATTCTTCAAAGGGGATCGAGCGCCTCAATTTTACGTGCTTTCATAGACATAAAGATCGTATGTGTTTAATTTAATTTAATCGTATATATTTTAATTTATTCTCATACTAACATATGCTGTAATTTGTGTTACAGCATAATTTAAATAATTAAATTATGTTTTTATTTATAATTTAGTTCAATTATTTTCAGATGTAAAACACTTAAAAATAATTCTAAAATAAATATATTATTAGAACGTTACCGACGTAACGACTCCGTGGCGCAACGGTAGCGCGTCTGACTCCAGATCAGAAGGTTGCGTGTTCAAATCACGTCGGGGTCAATCTTCATCTTTTGTTTTTTTTTTTAAATTATTATTTAAAATATTGTTTGTTTACTTAAACTTAACACTTTTAAGCACACTCTTAAATTATTTTCTTAATAAAGATAACTTTTTTTATTACTTTATTAAATAGATTCATATTATTTATGTAAAAGTATATACATATATTTTTCTAAATTAAATTAAAAATCTTAAAATTAAAATATATTGATTTATAATTTACGTACATTTTAGAAGAAAAAATTTAAATAAAAATTCTATTAAAGTAAACAATTTTACTTTTATATTTCTTATTGTTTGTGTTTAGGTTTATATTTATTTTAATATAATTTAATAATTTTTTGTTACTACATAAATATTTGGTTACATGTGTTTACATTTTACTGCGACCAACACTGCGACCAGTCATTGACCAACGAAAAGTGCAATTCTGCATTATCAGCTTTTCTTGTTGGTCAGTGTACTGAAGAAAGTGGGTCATATTTTGGCTTATAATTATGTCAGCACAGTTTAGGCAAATTTATTGTTTTGTGAATTATGCACTAATATTTATTGTTAATTAATGCATACTTCAATATTTTTTATATGAAATAATTTTGTATAAATAGAGTAAATAATTTAAATAAAGTTCAGAAATACAGAAAAATCAATACCAATCAATTCTTGATATTATTTCTCGAATCGATTAGTTTGGGTTACAAGTGCTCAAATTAATCATCACATAAAATACAAGTAGTTTGGGTTACAAGTGCTCAAGCTACTTCACAAACAAAATAGGCTACCAAGCTAATACAGATTAAGGATCTGGGTTAGCACCAAGTAGCGTACATTTTTGGTGACCCCGAGTGATTGTTGATATAATATCAGCTTTCATTATCCTCACGAAACACACTTCGAAGGAGTCAACTGCCTACAAAAAAGGACATACAAAAAGGGCTACTTCACTCAACAAGCAGCTCATTGGAATTTTCGAACCGAAAAACCAAAACATCGCCATCAACATGGATGCGGTATTACGGAAACAATCAGAGCTCAGTGCAGTTATAGAGCGGCTGATAACTAATTTTAAAAAGGACTCTAGTATCCGGAAGCAGGATTCCATATACTACGAAGACCGTCTAAAGAAGCTAAATTCCCTATGGAATAATTTTGAAATGAATGATGTTGAAATCAAAGCATTGCCACAACCTGAACTCGAACACGAGTATTTCAGTGCAGGTTATTTTAAAAAAATCTCCAATCTAGTAGTCAAATATGATGAACGATTTAAGTTGGAGAAATCAAGGCTAATCCCAAAACCACAGGACGAGAAGCCAGTAGTAAGCCAGGCTTATGCAAATATTTATCTTAAAATGTAATTCTAGCTTCTTTTAAAAATAAAAAAAATAAAAAAATTCTCTAACTCCATAAATCGAACCTTTTCTTTCTATAATTGGACTCCGAGTTATGGAAGTTTGACTGTATATTATTAAATTGTTTTGATATAAAGAAAAAATATTTTAAAATTTTTGTCACTTCTAACAAAAATTGAATAAAAAAAATTAGAAATCAAGAATATATACAGCAGTTGACAGACTGAAATAAAACTTACTATTTAGCTTTTTAAAAAAGCTTTTTATTTTTTTCGCAATGTTAATAACATAGCGTTGTGAAAGCGCTGTTATTTACAGTTACCATTAAGTTTTGTTTAATGTATTATTAAAAATATTGTGGTTTTATATTAAGTTTAAGAAAATTAAAATGTAGTGGTTTTTGGATTTATCTGTCTTATAATTACTATAATAACTTTTTTAACCTAATTTTTTGTTATGTAATCATTATACTGTAAAGTATTTTCTGCTTAGTAATTGATAAAACACATTTTAAACTTTTGCTGATGTTAGAATAAAAAAAAACCAATATACGGAGAAAACCAATACAATGACCTTGACCTGTTTTTGTTTTAATTTTCCTTATATAAAAGTGTTTTTGAAACCATACTGATGTAAATATTTATATAAAAATTTAAATAAAAAGAGTTTAAATTTATTCTTTACAATATATAAATAAATACATAAAATATATTCATATTTTTTAAATAATTATAATGAATGAAAATGTTTATTTTAACTTAAATACGAATTTGGTCATCGGACCGAATATGGACTCCGTGGCGCAACGGTAGCGCGTCTGACTCCAGATCAGAAGGTTGCGTGTTCAAATCACGTCGGGGTCAATCCTCAATTTTTGTTTTTTTTTTTATTGAATACATAATGGAATATATTTTGCAACAAATTTATCCTGCTTTTATAAATTTTCATAAAACGAGTGGTTTTAAATTTTTTGTTATAAAAATAAACATTTACATTTAATAAAAAATAT